GTCTGACTCATCTTTCTCCTGGGGAGCAGCTGGTAGGCTCAAATCACTTGCCTTTCAGTTGGCAGCTGAGCACTTTAACCACTGTGCCACCAGGAGTCCTTCCACAGGTGCAGGGGTTAGGATTTCATGTATTTGGCAGGGACACAATTCCGCCCCTACCAGTAGCTAACATTTCAAAAACTCACTGCCCTCGAGTCATTTTTGACTCATAGGGACCCCTCCTTGGGTTTCTAAGGTAGTATCTCTACAGGAGTAGATTGTCCAACCTTCCTTCTGAGGAGTGGCTGGTGGGTTTGAACCTCCAACCTTCTGGTTAGCAGTCAAGTGCCTTAGGCTCTACGCCTCCAGTAGCTAATGTTTATCGAACATTTTTTATGTTCCCAGTGTTGTGCTAAGTATTGCGGAACCTTCCCATCTTGTCTTATGGGGGTTTGGTTCTAGAGTCAGTATGTTCTTATGTGCAACCCAAATTCCCCTTGATGGGTACAAATTGTGTATATCCTCTGAACAGTATTGTTCTGTGTAAATATCAGCAGTATGATTTTGCATAAATGGGGTAGCAGTCACTCTCCCACTTCACCCTCTGTCTGGGATGTTGAATGCAGGGTGAATCACCCACTTTTTAAAATTATTTCTCTCCCATCCTCTCTCTTCTTCACTCCTCTTCTTTTCTCCCTCTCATCTTTTTTTGCCAAATATGATCCTAGTGTATTTGAATTCTCCTAAGCTAAATACAGGAGGCTTGGTGGTGCAACAGGTAAACACTTGGCAACTAACTGAAAGGTTGGTGGTTCAGACCCACTGAGAAGCTCTGTGGTCAAAAGACCTGCTGCTCTGCCTGTAAAGATTTCCATCTAGAAAACTCTAGGGGGTAGTTCTACTCTGCCCACAGGGGATCTGTGTGAGTTGGGATCAACTTGCACATTGCTATGATGCTGGAAGCTATGCCATCCATATTTCAAATACCAACAGGGTCATCCTTGGTGGATAGGTTTCAGTGACACTGCCAGACTAAGACAGAGTAGGAAGAAAGTCCTAGTGATATATTTCTAAAAATTAACCAGTGAGAACCCCATGGATCATAGAATGCTGTCTGAGACGTCGATTAATCTCATACTTTCAATGGGTCGTCAGGAAGGACCAGTCATTGGACAAAGACATCATGGTTGGTAAAGTAGAGGGTGATCCAGAAAACAAGGGAAACCTTTCATGAGGTCGATTGATTCAATAGCCAAAACAATGAACTCAACCATCCCAGCAATCATGAAGATGGTACAGGACCAGGCAACGTGTTGTTCTATGTGTGGTTGCTGTGAGACAGAGCTGACTCTATGGCAATTAACAACAACAAGAAATACTCATTTAAAACAAACTCCACTCTCTCTGACTTCACGTTAACAGTAGCCCTCTGAGGAAGTGATGCTGTCACTGTCATGTTGTTAAAAAGGGGATACTGAGGCTCAGAGACATTCAGGCATGTGCCCGAGATACACAGCTCAGATGTGAGCTAGGATGTGAACCTTTGGGCAGGAGATTCCAGGGCCTGGAGATACCAGCAGGAAGGCAGGCAGGCAAACTCCCCCTGGAGCACTGCCTTCCTCCTGTGATGACTGAGCCCCTTCAGCTGATGGTACTTGAGGCTCACACCCAACTAATGATCCAGCTGTGGCAAACCTAACCCAATAAAAACCAAACTCACTGCCATTGAGTCAAGTCATGGTGACCTCCATTGAGTTTCTGAGGTGGTAAATCTTTACAGAAGTAGATTGCCCCATCTTCCTTCTGCAGAGCAGCTGGTGGGTTTGAACCTCCAACCTTCTGGTTAGCAATCAAATGCCTTAGGCACCACACCACCAGAGTTCCTTGTGACCAAGTTGGACCTCACTTTTTAAAATAGGTGTTTCAACCAATCCAGCCCTGAGATTTTTACAGCTGATACTTTATGCACATTAAACACCAAATGATTGTTAACATATTTATTGAAGCTTAACAGGCATTCCATATATAAAAGATGACTTTCTTATATGGTTGTCAGACCTCAATAAACATGTTTAATAATTAATTGGCATTAAGCAAACATAATTGTGTGATTCTAAATTAAGTGTTCAGTGGAGCATAGTGTGAGTAGGAAACCACAGTGATATTTTATTACTTAAGGTTCAGGCTGTCAGTCTGGCTTTTCACATACCAAGGAAAGTGCCATGTTTCAAAGACGGGTCCCAGGCTCCTGTCACCTTCATGCCATGCAGGCTTAGGCCTTCTTTTTCCTAGACACTTTGATCTGAGCTCTGTTTCTGTGCCTTGCTGTTTGTCTTTCTGGGTTGTCTACTTCACCTTCTGAAGCTCTGAGTGAAGAGTTGTGTGACCTTTCACACAGCAGCTTTCAATTGAATTAACCAGTTCTGCCATCAACCCTGTGTCTCCCAAATGATCAGAATTCTATCAAACATAGCCATCTGTATACCTAAGTGCCTACCTCCTCTGCCAGACCTTTAAGGAATCCTGCTGGTGCAGTGGTTAAAGTGGTTGGCTGCTAACCTAAAGGTTAGTGGATCGAACCCACCAGTCACTCCCTGAGAGAAAGATGTGAGGGTCTGCTTAATTAAAGTTTATAGCCTTAGAAAGCCTATGGGGCAATTCTATGACCTATATAGAGTTGCTATGACTCAGAATTGACTTGACCGCAACAGGTGGGTGCCAAGCCTTGGAACAAGCAGGGCTGCCTGCTTGGATCTCTATCTACCCAGTCCCATAGTTGTTTTTTTGTTTGTTTTTTTTTTAAAAAAAAAAAAAAACACCAAACAGTTGCCATCAAGTCAATTTCAATTCATGGCTGTGACCTTTTAGAAAGAGATCACCAGGACTTTCTTCTGAATGACATACCCAGATTGTTAAGATGGATATTGCAAAAAGGACAAGGAGGCCACATGTTCTGACCTTCTCTAATCCCACAAGAGGAAGACAGAATCACCATCAATAGCCCAAGGCCTATTCCTGTGAGACCAGACCATGCTGCCTCCCTCCAGCCCTTTCTCCAACCGTTCCTCCCAAAGCACCCACCACCTCTCTCCTGGGTTCGATAATTCGCTGCAGTGGCCACACAGAACTCACAGATTATGAGGTTTATTAGGAAGGCACCAGGCTACAATTTAAGTTCAGGAAAAATGCTCAGTCTCTCTCCCAGCCCACTGTCTCTCACAGTCTCTCCCCCAGCAATGCATGTCCCTCAGTGTCTTACTCAGCAATGCTTATCTCTTGCATCTCTTTCCCACCAGCACGTGTCTCTTTTAGGAGTGCGTGTCTCTTTCAGCAGCACGTCTTCCTCAACCAGCAGTCAGAGAGAGAATTCTGCCTCTAGGAGGCCTCCTTTTGAGCCTGGCAGAGTGGCCAAACTAGCCAATCATAGCATGAGAACTCTAAGCAACTGAGAGAGAGTGGGAACCTCCCAGAACATTGTTTTGTGCCACTCCCAACAGAAATACTCCAGGTGGACAACTTTAGCAATCAGGAGCTCCTCAGTTGCTCATAGCAAATCCCACCTTGGAGTTTACAAAGGCTTAGGGGTAGAAAAGCCATACCAAGTAATTTACTACACTGCAGATACATTCTGTTAGACCCTAGCAAAAATGTGGAAGAGTGCCTATCTCAATAGCTCCTTCCTGGTATGTTTATCATTTTTCAATCTTTGCTAAGTTTAAATGAGACCCAGAAACATCAAACTCAATTGGCATAATGCACTACACAAAAATATTGTTCTACATCCTACTTTGGTGAGTAGCGACTGGGGTCTTAAAAGCTTACAAGCAGCCATTTAAAATGCAACAGTGGGTCTTTCCTCATCCAGAGCAGATAAGATTGAGGAAAACCAAAGATGCATGGAAGCAATTAGTCCAAGGGACTAGTAGACCATGTGATCTTCAGCCTATATATGACCATGAGACCAGAAGAACTAGATGGTGCCCAGCTACCACTGTCAACCACTCGGAAAGGGACCAGTGCAGGATATCCTGGATAGAGTGGGAGAACAATGTAGAACAAAACTCAAAATCATAAAAAAAAAAGACCAGGTTTGCTGGTCTGATAGAGCCTAGTGAGACCCTTGAGACTATGGCCCCTAGTTACCCTTCAGTCTGGAATTGAACTCACTCCTGTGGCTTCCAGCCAAACAACAGATAGGCATATGGGGTGAGCATTTTCGTCAGTTAAATATACTCTTTAGAACGATCAGTCATAGAAGAATAGAAGGGCAGTGTTTGCACATGGAGATTGCTTGAGGGCAGGAATATGTAAGGAAGGACACAGGGAAGAGGTACTGCAGGAAAGAAGTGGGAAGAGAGCTGTTACATTGTGGGGAATTGCAGTCAATGTCATGAAACAAAATGTGTATGAACTGCTGTGTGGAAAATGAATTTGCTCTATAAACTTTCACCCAAATCACAATAAAAAATAAAAAATAAATGAGACCCAGAGTTTGTTTCTGTCTCTCACTATGACTTTATTACCTACACAGAACATCCACCTTCAAATGCCCAGGCCTGTAAGCCTTACAGTTGGTGTGTGTGTGTGTGTGTAAAATAGAATAGATGTTATATTTCAAAATACATTTTTTTAAAATTCATTATATTGGCAGGAAGTTTGCTTTGTGTCTGCCCCAATATCTCTTGAAAGAATCTCCTTAAAGTTGTCTGATATCCTTGGGATTTTTATTTGGGTCTTTTGTTTTAACTTTCTCTCTCTTTTCTATTTTATTCGTGTCCTATTTATGGAACATGCAGCTCTTGAGAATGACAATTGCCAAACAGAGGCTGGGAGACGAAGACATCGGTGTTCGCCACTTTGCAGCCCATGAGCGTGAAGACTTGGTTCGGCAGCTGGAAAGAGCTAAGGAACAGGTTAGCTCACAGCTATTAAACGTAGGAGATGGGTTTGCAAAGCTGGCTGCCACACAGAGAAACATAGACTGTGCCCTCTATGTCTTGGGGACTGTTGGATGCCTCGAATATGAGTCGGAGATTTAAAAAAAAAAAAAAGGATATAGGTCAAAGGCTTTTACTTCTTTGATGCTTTGCTGGGTTCCTAAGCCAACTCTTGTATTTCTGACACCCAGCAGGTCTTCTCCCTTAGAGTTTTTGTGCCACTGTTCTGAATACAACTAGAAACTTTCCCCTAGATCCAGAGTAGAAAGAGAAGGAGCAAAATGTGACAAAACTGGCCTTAATTTGCAAGTTCCCACTAAAATGCTGAGGGATGCTTTTTAAGCAGAAGCTCCGTAGGTATCCAGCCCTAGTTAGGGAACGTCTAGGAGAGCCTGGACCTCATTTTCCTCTCTCGCCAATTGGTTTTGAAGATCAGAAAACAAGATTTGTGTGTCTAGAGAAGATGTGCTGAAAATAAGTATTTGTAAGCCACTGTCCCTAGTGTCTGGAATTACCTTCTGGGTATCTTTGGTTTTAGGGCATGTTGTGAGGAGCCCCCTCGGTGATGCAAATGATTAACATGCTCAGCTGCTAACTGAAAGGTCGGAGGTTCGAGTCTTACCCCAAGGTGCCTTGGAAGAAAGGCCTGGTGATCTACTTCCAGAAAAATCAGTCACTGACAATCCTGTGGAGGGCATAGTTCTACCCTGACACCCATGGGGTCACCATGAATGGGAGTCAACTTGACAGCAAGTGATTTAACTGGTAGTCAGGAAGGGTTCAGTTTTGCTTGTCGTGCTGCTGCACCTTTCCAAGACACCTTAGATACAGTAACTCTGGCAGGTGGTCATCCCTTGGTTTTAGCTTTTATCCCATTGCAGTGTGTGGCACTTACAGTTTTATTGCATGCTGGTGGTACTAATGAGCTCTCTGAAAGTCAGTCAACCAAGTGGCAGGCTCCATCTCCGGCCATAAAGCTGATGTCTGAACATCTTGAGTGAGGGTGCCTCCTTGGCTTTCAGATTGAGTCTTTGGAGCATGACCTGAAGGCCTCTGTGGATGAGCTTCAGGATGTGAAAGAAGAACGGTGTTCCTACCAGGACAAAGTGGAGAGGCTAAACCAGGAGCTAAACCACATCCTGGGTGGCCATGAGAACCGCATCATTGACGTGGACGCCCTGTGCATGGAGAACAGGCAAGTGGCCAGTTCCAGGCCTGCACTGGGGTGAACTTCTGGCACTCCACAGGCCTGGTGGCTGGGAATTATTTGCACCCCTATTTACATTTGAGAAAATTGCCTTACAGTGAAAGGCAAGTCACAACCCCACAATGATGATATTAACATCACATACTAGTAAGTACCTGGGTGGTGCAAAGGGTTAAGTGCTTAGCTGCTAATCAAAAGTTTGCAGGTTCAGATCCATGCAGATCTGTCTCAGAAGAGAGAACTGGTGATCTACTTCTGAAAATAAAAAAAATCCTGAGAAACCAAATGCTGCTATCAAGTCAATTCCGACTCATAGTGACCCCCTTTGGGTTTCCGAGGCAGTAAATCTTTACAGAAGTAGATTGCCCAGTCTTCCTTCCATGGAGTGGCTATTGGGTTTGAACCACCAGCCTTCTGGTTAACAGTCAAATGCCTTAGGCACTCTGCCATTGACAACCCTGTGGTGCTCGATTCTACTCTGATGTGCAGGAACTGGAGTCAACTCAGTGGCAACTGGTCATTAGTTGTAAGCAAACGTTATACCCTATGGACCTACCTGCATCCGTTTCCCACTCAGCCCCACCAGCCCTGGCTGGATAAGAGTAAGGAACCTGTGAAAGCTGCTTTATGGCTATAAGGGGAAGGAAAAAGAGAATAAATTGAAAAATTCCCTTAGCTAGTTCATTTCCCCAAGGCAATTTTATAATGTGTGTGTGTGTGTGTGTGTGTCTAACCTAATGTTATGGCTAGTGTCGCCTCTTCCTGCTTCACTTCCCAGTGGAATCACTTGAATAAGAGTTATATGAAGACTGTTGCTGTCCCTTCGGGGGTCTGGGGGCCTCTGCACAGGGTGGTGTTAAAGTGGGGTTTCTGTGATTTGTCATATTTCACCTTGATCGCATGCATTTGCGCAGAGTCACAGTGTTACATTTTTCTCTTTGGTGGGAGGTGAAGCATTGTATTTAAAAGATGGCTCTTCAGGCACTTGATTTTCTTTTTTCCCTTTTTATTTGAATGCATGTTTTTATTTTGCCTTCCAGTACTTCCTGTTGTTGTTGGCTGCCACTGAGTTGATTTCAACTCATAGCAACCCCATGGGACAGTTTAAAATGGCCTCATAGAGTTTTCTAGGCTGTAATCTCAAGTATAGTTAGGATTGTAAGGCTGGCGCAGGACTGTGGGACGTTTTGTTCTGTTGTCGCTATGAGTCAGAGCCGACCCAATGGCACCGAACAACAAGAACAACAACTATTTTATGGAAGCACTTCTCCCACAGAGCTGCTGGGTTCAAACCACCAACCTTTTGGTTAACAGCTGAATGCTTGACTGCTGCACCACTAAGTTTCCATTAAACACTTCCTAGTTGTCTGTATTCTTTTCCAGGTACCTTCAGGAGAGATTAAAGCAACTCCATGAAGAGGTCAACCTCCTGAAATCTAACATTGCCAAATACAAGGTAGCAAAATCGTGAGGACAATGATGATGAGTCACAATTGTGCAGCTAAATGTCATTCTATTTTAATTCTCTTTTATGTGCCAAAGATACTTCTGTGCTTGCCTGCCTTCCCAGATAGAGTCCAATAAGAGCCTTAACGGCAGTATACTACCAGTGAAAATTAAACTCGAAACAACACATAAAACACAAACCACTTTTTGCAAGAGCTCCTTCTGTTGCTGTGAGCTGGATAATGCCTGCCGAGGGCACCAGCATTTGGACTTGTCCACTTTACAGCCTCAATTCCTATGAAATTTAGTGTCTTAGCTAGTTTGTCTATAAAATGCCCAACCTTCTACCTGTCTCCTAACCATCCGTAAGATAATGGTTTCAGACGAAGAAACAGAGACTGGGGAATCAGTCTCAACAATGATGTTCACATCACAGTGGAAGGACAGGATGTTTCAATTCCCACCCCCCACCCCCCGTTATTTAGTCTCATTCCAGCACCATTAGTTTGATAATATCTATTTCTGCAGATGTTGGTTGTAAGGGTTATAATTAGAAAAATCTCCAGGGTTTCTCTGCTTGGAAAATAGATTGATTTCTCTTCCTGAGGGTAGTTTTGCAGCAGTCTGAATGCTTAGAGAGTCTTCTCATTTCCCTGGCTTTTGACGTTGGCTGTTTTCTCAGACGTCCCATGCTATCTTCCCTTTCCACTCTGTGGACCATATTTTATTTCTACCAATCCTCTATATATGCATGCAGCCTCAGAAGATTACAGGTTTTTAATTATAAAATTAATACATAATTTTAAAAAATGCACGTGCACATTCTTTTCATAGCGTTTATTCACTTCTACTATGTGCCAAGCACTGCCATATACTACATAACAATTTGGATTTACGAGGCTGTTCTAGGGCTGACAAGTAGGTAGGTCATATTCACTTCCTTAATCTTGTGTCCAAAACAGACATCACTAATTGCACGTGGTTTTCTTTGCTATCTAATCACAGAACCTTTCCAAATACTACTAGCCATCTACTGCCATTGGCACATGTTTTGGCCCTTTCGTGCTGCTCCAATAGAAATACTACACATATATGACTTTAACAAATGGATTAATTCTCTTACAGTTTAAGAGGCTAAAAGTCCAAGTTCAAAGTGCCAGCTCTAGGGGCTGGGTGAAAGCCCCTTGACCATGGGCTCTGCCTCTTGCTTCTGGCTGACCAGAGCTAGAGGCTTCTCTTAACTCAGCCAGCTGCTGGCTGATGAGACTGGCAAACGCAGAGTTGACAAGTAAAATGGCGCAGTCCCAAGGTTATCAAGCAACATGGCAAGCCACTAGTTCAAGTCCAGAAACAGTCACAAGTTTGCCAGGCAACATGGCAGGCTGCTGCAGGAAGACTGGGCTACATGCAGGGTCCAAGCCAAAAAGCTGAGACCTTTGTTTTGGTTACTTCATAATGCTCTAACAGAAAATACCACAAATGGGATGGTTCTAACAAACAGGAGTTTATTCTCTTACTTTTTGGAGGCTGGAAGTCCAAATTCAAAGTGCCAGGTTCTAGGGGTTGTGTGCAAGCCCCTCGACTTTGGGCTTCAGCTCTGCCTCTTGCTCTTAGCCCACTGAAGCTGGAGGCTTTCTTCACTCAGGCAGCTGCTAACTGCTGAGGCTGACAAACTCAAGGCCGACATGTAAAAATGTCCCAATATTACCAAACCACATGGCAGGGCATTGATTCAAGTCCATCAAGAGTTCCAAGATCAGCAAATAACATGGCAGGCTGCTAAATGATGACTCGGCTACATACAGGGTCCAAGTATGCCAAAAGCTAGAGAATTTCCTCAAAGTTGCATCTTATATATTGGAATCAGGCCACATCCCTAAAGCAGCTACTCAGCTGCTCCAGTAGATTCCACCATGGAGTTATTACCAATCTCACCATAGGGAATAACTACATCCAGCTGCCCAGCCACTCAACCAGCCCCAGCCAAGTTGACACATAACATTAACTACCACACCTTTCTCAAGGCTTCTTCTTATATACTGGAAATAGACCACATTCCTAAGGCAGCCACTCAGCTTCTCACAGCAGATTTCACCATGAAGTTGATTACTAGTCTCATCATGGGGAATCACTATATCCAGCTGCCAAGCCACTCAAAACCAAGCCCAGCCAAGCTGACACATAACCTTAACTACCACAGCATGTGAGAGTAAATCACTGCTCCATCTCACGTCTACCCAGAAGAGGTTTCCATAATTAGTGGCTTCACATATTAGACTGAGTCTCTGTTTCAGATTTCATTTCATTTAACAAATATCCATGATTACTTTTTGTAAATAGACTGGAATTGCTGTCATTGTACTGACCACTGACCTCTTTTTTTAAAAAAAAAAAAAAAACCTCTTTTCTGAGACCATAAAGTCCATGATAACTTATTATTAGTTGCCACTGAATTGACTCCAACTCATGACAACCTTTTGTACAAATATTGCCCAGTCATTCACCATCTTCATGATTGTTGATATAATCATAACTTAGGAACTCAGAATTCTAAATGTTGGACCAACTTGTGGACTCTGCAAGAGATTTTTGTGTACTGGATGGGAAGATGCATCTGTTTGACTATGTATTTGTCCAAGATTGGATTTCATGACAAAGCTTTTTACTTTCTCCTAATGCTGTTCTAGAATGCTCTCGAGAGACGGAAGAACTCAAAGGGCCAGGGCAAATCCAACAGCAGTGCATTGACTGGGGTCTTGTCTGCAAAGCAAGGTAGGATTTTTTCCCCCAGGAGGGACCACTTACAGCAGAGAATGCTAGAGCTGTGCACCCTCATAGACGCCATCTAGTGCAGCCCACTGGTTTTGTGACTGGGGACCAATCCTTAGAGCAAGGGTTCCCAAGCTCCAGTCCATATCAGAATTGCCAAGAGGGCTTGTGAAAACACAGTCCCTGGGCCCCACTCCAGAGTTTCTGATTCAGTAGGTCTGGGGTAGGACCTGGGAATATGAATTTCTAAAAAAAAAAAAAAAATCCTCAGGTGATACTGGTTATGGGACCTCACTTTGAAAACTGGAGGATTGGAGGGTTTTTCAATGACTGGATGCCATTTGGGTGTTTTTTCTTACACTGTGCTCTCCTATCAGGAATGGCTTCTCTTCACCAATCAGCAGTTTAGCTCTCCAAGGGTGGGTTTCACCTCCTTGAGTTTCTCCTTCTTTGGGCCTTGAAGGTCAGAATAGAAAAGTCCCATAGTTGCTGAAATCACTTTATCATGGAACCTGTGCCTTTTCTCGAAGAAGCTTTTATTGATTGCAATTTTATTCCTCCTTCTTGTCGATTCCAATGAAAAATAATGATCTTCCAGGAGCAGTCCAGGGAAATAAATAGCAGAGAGCCTGCTTTTGACACTTAATATTTGGAATTCAGTTCTAAACATGAGCCACAAGTTGAACACGCTCATCTGGCCCACTTTGTGATTGTTGGCAGCGCAGACTAGCAACTCTCATGTGGCAGTCTTAATCAAAGCTGGAGTGGCTGAAATAAAGTGCTGAGTCTCTAGCTTACCTAATGACAAAGACACTTTTCCAGACACCTTCTTTACTCCACGCAACTAGAAAAGGACACCGTAGAATTGTTTTCTATAAGAAAACTACAACATTCTTTTTTTTTCTTTTCTAAAGTGAAGTAGCCCATCTAGGTTTATTTTCAGTTACCAAACTTAGAAAACCATTTTTGCATCCAGTGTTGATACCCAGTGTTATTGTTGGTGGTATAACTGTAAATCTCAACCAACCTATTTGGCCACATTTCATGAATAACTTTAACTGGATCCCCTTTGAAGCAGCAAAACAGTATTACAGATTTACAGAAAACTTTTGCTACAAGAAAGGTTTTCATGGATTGGTTATAATCAAAATAATTGGAAACAACATAAATGTCCAGCAGTAATTAAATAAATGATACATAAATACATCACCAAGTGCTTCTTTCTTTAGACAATATTATGGACTACTGTGCCAGGAATGACAAGTTGAAGAAGAATGGTGCTGTATTCATTGTCAAAAGGAACATTTCTAGATCTGTCCTGAAGTACAACACTATCAGTAATAGGATATTATCCACACATCTACAAGGAGGACCAGTTAATACTACTATTATTCAAATTTACACACCAATCGCTAATGCCAAAGATGAAGAAATTGACCATTTTTATGAATTTCTACAGTCTGAAATTGATCAAACATTCAACCAAGATGCATTGATAATTACTGGTGAGTGGAATGCGAAAGCTGAAAACAAAGAAGAGGGATGAGTAGTTGGAAAAGATGCCGGAGATTGTGTAATAGAATTTTGCAAGACTAAAGACTTGCTCATTGCAAAAAATCTTTTTCAACACCATAAATGGTGAATATACATGTGGACATCACCAGATGGAATAACAGGAATCAAATCGACTACGTCTCTGGAAAGAGATGATGGGGAAGCTCAATATCATCAGTCAAAACAATGCCAGGAGCTGACTGTGGAATAGACCATCAACTGCTCGTATGCAAGTTCAAGTTGAAGGTGAAGAAAATTAAAACAAGTCCATGGAGCAAACCTGAATTTAGAGACCATCTGAGGAATAGATTTGACTCCTTGAACACCAATGACTGAAAACCAAGTGAATTATGGGATGACATTAAGAACATCATATATGAAGAAAACAAAAGGTCACTTAAAAGACAGAAAAGGAAGAAAAGACCAAAATGGATATCAGAAGAGACTTTGAAACTTGCTCTTGAATGTGAAGTAACTAAAGTAAATGGAAGAAATGAAGTAAAAGAGCTGAACAAAAAATTTCAAATGGTAAATTGAGAAACAAAGTATAATGAAATGTGCAAAAACCTAGAGTTAAAAAAACAAAAGGGAAGGACATGTGTGGCATTTCTCAAGATGAAAGAACTGAAGAAAAAATTCAAGCCTCAAATTTTAATACTGAAGGATTCTTTGGGAAAAATACTGAATGACGTAGGAAGTGTCAAAAGAAGATGGAAGGAAAATACAGAGTCATTGTACCAAAGAGAATTGGTCAATGTTCAGCCATTTGTAGAGGTAGCATATGATCAATAACTGATGGTACTGAGGGAAGAAGTCCAAGCTACAGTGAAGTCATTGGTGAAAAACAGTATATGGTGGTTAAATTTCTGTGTACACTTGGCTGGGCCTGGTTGAGTGGCTGGGCAGCTGAATGTAGTTATTCCCCATGGTGAGATTAGTAATTAACTCCATGGTGGAATCTACTGTAAGCAGCTGAGTAGCTGCCTTAGGGATGTTGTCTGCTTCCTGTATATAAGGAGAAGGCTTGGAGAATGGTCTATAGCTTATGGCACGTTTGAACCCTGCATGTAGCCATGTTGTTGTTCAGCAGCCAGTCATGCTTTGCCAACCTTGGGACTTTCAACGGACTTGAATTAATGGCCTGCCATGTGGCTTGGTAACATTGGGACTGTGCCTTTTTACTTGTCAACCTTGGGCTTGTCAGTCTCAGCAGCCAGCAGCTGTCTGAGTGAAGAAAAGCTTCTAGCTTCAGTGGGCCAGGAGCAGGAGGCAAAGATGGACCCCAAGGTCAAGATGCTTTCACCCAGTCCCTAGAGGCTGGCACTTTGAACTTAGACTTAAAGCCTCCAAACTGTAAGAGAATAAATTCCTGTTCGTTAAAGCCATCCTATTTGTGGTATTTTCTTGTCAGAGCGGCACTAGGTAACCAGAACACAGTGTATTGAAACTGATGGAATAGAACTGAGATATTTCAATATTGTCAGTTGTGTTGTCAGCATATCACATAGGTAAGTGCTCACTCACCTATGCTAAGAAGTTTGGAAGACAGCTACCTGTGCAACTAAATGGAAGAAATTCATATTTGTGTGTATTCCAAAGAAAAGTGATCCAACTGAATGTGGAAATTATCAAACAATATCATTAATATCACATGCAAGTAAAATTCTGCTGAAGATAATTTAAAAAGTGGTTGCAGCAGTACATTGACAGAGAATGCCAGAAATTCAAGCTGGATTCAAAAAAGAAAATGAAATGAGGGATGTTGTTACTAATGTCAGATGGATCCTGGCTGAAAGCAGAGAATACCAGAAAGATGTTTATCTGTATTTTACTGGCTATGCAAAAGCATTTGACTGTGTGGATCATAGCAAATGTGGAAAACATTGCAAAGAATCAGAATTCCAGGACACTTCTTGTGCTCATGTGGAACCTGCACATAGAGGAAGAGACAGTCATTTGAACAGCACAAGGGGATACTGTGTGGTTTAAAATCAGAAAAGTTGTGTATCAGCATTGTATACTTTCATCATACTTATTCAATCCATATGCTCAGCAAATCAGCCAAGATGCTGGACTATATGAAGAAGAATCAGGATTGGAGGAAGACTCATTAACAACCTGCAATATGCCGATGATACAACCTTGCTTGCTGAAAGTGAAGAGGACTTGAAGCACTTACTGAGGAAAATCAAAGACTACAGCTTTCAGTGTGGATTACAGCTCAACATAAAACAAAAGTTCTCAACAATAGGACCAACAAGCAACATAATGATAAATGGAGAAAATATTGAAGTTGCCAAAGATTTCATTCATCCACAATCATTGCCCATGGATGGGAGCAGCAGTAGAGAAATCAAATGATATATTGCAGCAAATCTGTTGTAAAAGACCTCTTTAAAGTGTTCAAAAGCAAAGATGTCACTTTGAGGACTGAGGTGTGTCTGACCCAAGGTATGGTATTTTCATTTGCCTCATATGTATGTGAAAGCTAGACAGTGAGTAAGGGAGAATGAAGACGTAATGCTTTTGAATTCTGTTGTGTTGGCAAAGAATATTGAATATACCATGGCCTGCCACAAGAATGAACCAATCTGTCTTAGAGGAACTACAGCCAGAATGCTCTTTAAAACTGAAGATGGTGACACTTTGTCTCCCTGACTTTGGACTGTGATCTGATCAGCAGGGACCAGTCCCTGGAGAAGGGCATCATACTTGGTAAAGTAGAGGGTCAGCGAAAAGGAGAGAGACTCTCAACAAGATGGAGGAACACAGTAGCTGCAATAACAGACTCAAACAGTGTGACGGTGGGGCCGGACCGGGCAGTGTTTCACTCTGTGGTCCCTGGAGTTGCTGTGAGTTGGAAACATATATACAAACATAAATAATTTTATATATTTAAATATATATATTATAAATTTATATACAAACATAAATACACGTGGACTGTTAAAGCAGGGATTAGATCTAATGTTTTTGGGTCTATTGGTGATGAATATTTTGAATTGAAAAAAGTAAGGCTTTTCCCCATTTTTTTTTTTTTGAAGAAAAAGTGCTGTATTTGTATGTCTGTATATAGGTATATAAGGAATAATATTCAAAGCTACATATTTAAAAAACGAGTTGCTTTGGAGTTGGTTTTGACTCTTGATGACCCCATGTGTGCAAAGTAGAATTACTCCATCGGGTTTTCAAGGCTGTGGCCCTTTGGAAGCAGATGGCTAGGCCTGTCTCCCTAGGCACTTGTAAGTGGGTTGGAACTGCCAACCTTTGGGCCAGTAGTCAAGTGCTTACCTGTTTGCACCACCCACTTAAAGACAAATAGTGAGGGATTTATACTGTTTCTTTTGGTGTGTCTGGAAGAAGTATAAGTGATTTTAGTCTTTTTACATTTTACATTCTTTTACGTTTTATTTGATCTACCTTTTCTAAATATATGTATTATTTTTGTA